TCGTGATCCCATGGCAGTTTTACCATTAGCACTGAAGAGAATGAAGAATACGACATTGTCGATTACAAGGGGAGGTGGAAGGTGGAAAAGAAAGATGTCATGCTCGCCGCCAAAAATGGGGAATGGTTAAATGATGAAGTCGTCAATTCGTACCTGCTAGCCGTTCAGATCACCAATGACTACATCAAGAAGGTGGATTCGACATGTGCAGAAGTGGCAAAAAATGAAAGTTCTCGAAGCATTTCATCTGTGCATATTCTAAATTCTTTTTTCTTTCACATATTGTCAAAAGCTCAGTCCGCTGAAATCGCATACTCCGAAGGGACGAGATGCGTGAAGGACATAAATGTTTTCAATTTTGATTTGGTAATTATCCCTCTCCATTTCGGAAATCATTGGGCCTTAGCTTATGTCAGCATATATCGCTCTTAGTGTAAATTCCGCCTCGTAGACTCTCTCCATCGTGTTGACTACGGTCCAGCCCTCGAACTTTTTGCAGGTTTTTTCAGAGCAGAGTTTCAGCGACAAAATTTCCGGGAAAAATATAATGTGGAGGAGCCTACATCCTACTTTGATACATCAGTAGATGAGATTCCTGCTCAAGAGGATTCTTCTAGTTGTGGTGTTTTTATGTTAGGTTTTGCATCTTTGCTTGCAAAAGGTCACTTCCCTCCGTTCGGTTTCTCACAAAATAGTATTCCTGATATGAGACTTAGAATAGCATTTGACATTTTGTCCATGGTAAAATAGGAGAGTCAATGAGAATTTCAAGTTCTAGGTTTGGAAAAATGAGGTTGACATGTTTACTTAGTGTGAACATTCCTTGTGAAAATGTGTATTGTAGGCAATTTTGAAAATATAATGACAATGTATAATGACATTTCCTAGGCTTCTCATCAGTTTTTGATGAGGTTGACGTGTTTTACTGAGTGACATGTTTACAGAGTGGATTGTCAATCCTTGGGTGACATGTTTGCGGTTTGTGTACATGTGAACATTCGAGGTGAAAATTTATGTTTAATTTCCTTCAACAACTTTCATGTATAACCATTGTTTTCTCGTTGTTTGTTTATTTTTCCCTCAGTTCTTTGTGTCATTTTACAATTAAAATAAAAAGTGAACATGAAAACAATTTCACTTTTAACAAAAACACCGTTTTAAGCATTGCGTTTAGCCAAAGATTTGGGAGTTAGCTTCAACACTTAGCAAACTGCACATGAGTACAAGAGACTGTCTTGGCTGATCTCAACAAAATTGCTTCAAAAGATGTTTTCCAGTACCGGTATGTCAGTGTCGTTGGTTTCAAGCGGGAGGACCTATCCATTTATGTTGCTCATACCGATGAGCACTTCGACTCAGTCTGGATTTCGACAGCCGGCTATCTTGAGCGAAGAGAACGTGAGCTTGATGAGAGTGGTGCCAGACTGGTTTGCAGCTTTGGCCCAAGCTCTATGTTGACTATCCCAAGCCGCTACTCTCTTTTCTACTCACTGACGGGTCTTGTTGGAGCGACTTGATAGATTTGGCTAAAAGGTACATCTCACTAGTACAGGTTGACCATCAGGCCTTGACAGAGCCATCAGAGTTCAAGCATCTCAAGCGAGGAATATTCTCCAGACCCTATCTTCCTACTCTATGGGAGGAGTTCTGCTCCATGGTTGACTTTCGAGTCATATACCTCGGATGGACATGCTCAGAGCTTGCTGGTTTCAGGTGGCTCTATATTTCAAAGCCACTCCCTCAGAGAGTACGCAAACGTGGTTCAAAGCACAAGAGACGAGCAGTCAAATGAGAGATTGAGAGAGAACCAAGTGGGATGAGTGAGGACTCTTGAGGAGTGTTGACCATGTCTGTTCATTTGTACCTTCTGAGACTATTATGAGTTATCACCTTTCCCTCGTTCATCTTGTCTTTGCCTCGAGTCAGTCAGTCTTGATTATCTCTTCTGGCATTGCTTGATGATTATGTTCCTTGCTAATCATGTCACATTTTTCAACCTTTAAATTTACAAAATCAGGACATACATGGCATATTCAATTTAATTTTAATTTTATCATTTGCATCATCATTGATGTTCCGAATCATAGTAAAAAATTTCTAAGACCGGGGTCCGGCGAAGATCGTAATTGAAGGGTCTCGCTCGAAGCCGAGCGCAAAAAACAGGAAGGGATTTGTCTTATTTAATTTATTTTACTTATTGCAAAAAACACACAAAATCCTGCGTGACAGCCTGTTCGCTTTTCGGTCGCCATAAATGGCCCGACTGAAAAAAAGTGTGACAGCGGGCTTTGGGCGGCAGTTCCTTGTACTTCCGTGTAGAAGTGGGGGAGCAAGCGGCGTCGATATCAGCAGCTCATGAAAGCAAAATATCTGCGAAGATACGTCCTTTCCGTCCACCATGGTACAACTCGAATGAAGTCACGGCGATCGCCGGGTGCACCGAAGTGTTCTAGGTGAACTCGATGTCGTGAAGACGGTCAACCCAGTCCTTCTGATCCGGGCGGATGAGTGTGCGGAGCATCATCTGCGCAGTCTGGTGCGCACGTTCCGTTTGCATATCCATTTTAGGATGCCGTCCGGAACTCGGTTTTGTTGGTGCCGGATTCCACCATGATTGTCGTCCAAAAGGCCGACATGAAACGAGTGTTGCGGTCGCTGACGATGTCTTCCGGAACGTCGTGGCTGCAAAACCAGCCGGTATGCAAAAGTCGTGCGAGCTCAGGAGTTGTCGCATGATACTTGCATGGAAGAAATCGAGCGTACTTGCTCAAACGGTCAACGACCGTGTGAATACCGTCATGGCCAAGGCGATCGCGAGGGAAAGGGTCGTTCACATCCATAGCAATGAAGAGACCTGGTTTCCGAGGAATCGGCAATGGTTTCAGTCAACCGTACGGGAGATGATGGCATCCTTTGTTCCCGTGGCAAACTGCACATGACTGAATGTACCGGTTGACGTCGTTGATGATGTCCGACCAGTGAAATCGTTGGCGGAGTCGTGCCAGTGTGCGTGCGACACCAAGGTGTCCCGCTAGCCGCGAATCGTGGTATTCGCCAAGGAGGCGAGTGCGCAAGATGCGGTCTTGGGGTACACACAACAAGTCCTTGCCTCGTGTATGAAGAAGCAAGTAGCCGTCGACAATGTGATAGTTGCTTGCCGGCGGGTGATCCGATGATAAGTCCGCATAGAGCATGAAGAATCTCGGATCCGACTTGTAGCCGTTTATGAAATGTTGTTGCAGGTTCTCGTCGAGGCCGAATGTGGAGTGCACCAAGGCACAAAGATCAGGTCTTCGCGAGAAAGCATCCGCTGCCTTGTTCGAGGAGCCCGGAATGTACTTGGAGGTGAAATCGAACTGGTCAATGAAGTACATCCATCGACCAATCGTGCTGCTCACCTTGCCTTGCGTGTTGTAATACGTCAACGGATTGTTGTCCGTTGCCCACGTGAATCGCCGACGCCCGAGAAGAAAGTGACGCCAACGCTTAAGTACGGTGACAAAAGCTAGCAGTTCCTTCTTCCTCGCATCATCAAGAGTGTTGATGGGTGGCACCTTTTGGCTAAAGTACTCAACCGGATGCCAATATGTGCCGTCATGCTGTTCCAAAACCGCGCCAATGTCGTAACTTGAAGTGTCCGTTGTCACTTTGGTAGGCAAGGTCGGGTCATAGATGCTTACGACGGGAGCTTGAAGCAAAGTCGTCTTCAGCTATATGTCCGAAAAGGGATTCAACGGGGGTTTCCCGTTGAACGGACCAACGGTCGTTGAAACCTCGATTTAACGCCGCGTTTACCCTCGTTACAACGTGGAACAACGCGGCCCACAATTTTTTTTTTCACGGGCAAAAAAAGGGCAAAAAATAAAAATAAAAATACGAGGGTGTTGATATTTTTGCGCTCTACATCCCCATATTTTTTATTTTATTTTTTGAGCATTCAAATTATTTAAAAAAAATCAAAAACCTTACCCGACTCAAAACACATTTATGTTTTTTGTCTTTTTTTATTGATTGATTGATTGATTGATTGATTGATTGATTGATTGATTGACTGATTGATTGGTGGGGGACCGGTCGCCCCCCCCC